ACCGTCAAATTGGATCTGACTGGTACAGGAGACTGCCCCTCCTTCTCCTGCAGAGCATAAAGTAGAGTCTGGGTTTTTTCCCCCCCAGGTGCCTGTTGGGGCCTGGGTTTCAGCTGTCCACACCACAGCAGTGGGCAACGAGCTTAAAGCCCCTGATGGCTCTGGGCACTGACTCTCACCAGTGGCTATGGATGAAGTCACAGGCGATTTTCAGCCAGCACCAGGAAATTAATAATAAATTTTTAAAAAAACACAACAAAACCACAAAGAGCAGGAGATGCTGGTGATGTGGGTGGGGAATCAAAAGAGAGGGGACTACTATCCTGGAGAGCCAGTGAGGAGAGTGAAGCAAGAGGGAATGATTAACTGGTGTCAAAACCCATACTGCCAGCTTCCGTAGGCAAGACTGATGTCATATTCATTCATGTATTCGTCATATCGTTCATTCCATGAATACTGATTGAGGTACTATCGAGAATTTGGTATAGGATATGACGTTTGAAATGGGTGGTATTTCAGTAGATGAATGGCGTTCTGTAATGTGGTGGGAAGGGGAAGAAGACATTGAGCCTGGGGGAAGAGATGTGTGTCTGTTGGGGGTGTGGTGTGGTGTGTACATACATACGTATGGGTTTTAGCTCTTAGTCCTGCTTGCCTGGCTGGAGGGACCAATGATGGAACAGTGTGAGCTGAGCCAGCAGAGTCAGGCTAGGCCAGTTGGTGCAGGTCTGGTACCTTGGCTACAGAGTTGGGCTTGTCTTTTTGGATCTTGGAGCCTTTGAAAGTGTCTGCCCAGGCGAGTATCATTCCAAAGTTGTACATTTAGAAGATTAACCTCATTAATCTTTCCTGTTAAGCCATTACATGTTAAAAGCAATGGTATTTTGTTTGTTTTTTAAAAAGCAGTGGTATTGACTTGGGCATTTCAGTGGTGGGAATTTTAGCAGAAGTCTAGATAGATAGTAACTTGAGTTAGTCAATCATATAGGAGGCGTATCCATCAATTTAACAAATATTTATTGAGGACTATCTAAATACAACAATGTCTGTATAGTGGGTAAGGGACAGAGCTACTCTTTTCACTGCAGGACCTTTCGTTCGTATGTGAGAACTACATGGTAGTGTACCACGTCACCAGTAAATACCTCACCAGAGAGGGTTGAGAAGAGGAGATGCTTGGCCTGTGTGGGACATTGGAAAGGCTTCCAGGGAAAGACTGTCCTGTGGGCTTGAAAGATGAGCAGTTTTCTTTGCAAAGAAGCACTTGAGCATTCTAGGTGGAAAAAAAAACTTATTAAGGGTTGTGAACTTAAAGAAAATGTAAACATATTCTCTTTTAAAAACTCTTTATTTCATTGACTTTTAGGTGGTGCTGACTAGAGTGTGTGCTTTTGGACCCAAGTTTCACTTTTCAGATGTGGAATCCTGGGCCTTTGTTGGTAAGTTTGTTTTAAGCCTTCTTACCAAATTGTGCTGTCAGTTGGCATTTGGAATGAAAGGCAAGGTAACAGTTATCTTTGGCAACAGTTATCTCTGTGGAGGTAACTCAGCCTGGACCACAAAGAAATTTATAGCCTAGGCGGGAAGGACACACAGGAGAAGTGAAATCTCACTACAGATTCTTTTTCTGTAGATACAGAAAAGGAGGCAGGAGGAGGAGAATCTAGAAGGTGTGGATTTACATGGGGTTGATTTCATGGAGAGTGGAGCTTTGGCTGTGATTGAGAGAGGAGATGGATAAAGAATTTCAGGAGCTTAAGAAGGTGTCAGGTATTAAGAAAGTAGGTTCAGCAGCAGACCTGTGGCTGCAAAAGCTTCCGCTCAAAGAATCGTGGGCAAGCATCATGGTCTGTTTGTGTCTTGTTCTTTTAGACCAGGGTGGACAAATTTTCTGAAAAGGAACAGATGGTACATGCTTTTAGCTTTGCGGGCCATGTGGTCTCTGTCACAGCTACTCATATCTGCTGTTGTTGCATGAAAGCAGGCATAGATAGTACATAAATGAATGGATATGGTTGTGTCCCAATAAAACTTTATTTGCTGGTAGTATGGTGGATTTGACTTGTGGACTGTCATTTGCTAACTTTTTTTCTAACCTATGTTGGGTTGAAACACTTTTATTCTGCAGGCAGCAGGAAGCCACTGAAGTTACTTTGGTCATGGAAGTAAAATGGTAGAGTGATGTTTTATCATTCTTCTGAACTAGGGGTTTGGTACCCTATTAGAGGGCAACAGTACCAATCCAGGTATGAGGTTGTATGGCTAATATTGATTAAAATGGACCAATAGACCAATTGCAAAATTTTTTAAAAAGGGAAACCCAATGGTATTTTAAGTGTCTTTAAACATTAAAGATACGAGTTAAAGAAGATTAAAAAGTTGTGATTCACAATACGATAGTATTGTGACAGAAATGTGGATATTAGCAGTGGAGACGAATGATTGAAGCATCGGTTTTTAGATAGCATAAATTCAAAGTGAGGTGGTAGATTATTGGAAATATATGACTTTAGGCTGGCCTGAAAATATTAGGTCTTCAAATACAGAGTGAGAACCATATAGGGTTAAGTTCTCTCCTGGCGGGCAGAGGGCTGGAGCCATGGGGAATGCTCATATTTTGGCATGAAAAGAACACCGGAGTGGGAGAACACCAGAAGTCAAGGAGGAGAGAGTCCCAGAAAGCAAGAGGAGAGGATAGTTCCAGTAGAGAACAGGCAGAAAGGAAGTGAGAGAAGGCTGTTGAATTCATGACAGACTGGTAACTGATGGCCATAAAGAATACATTATTATGAGAGAGGATGGGAAGGGAAACCTGGTTGGTTGGGGTCAGGACATGAAGAATAAAGAATCAGGGATATTTTTCTAAAAAAGGTCATTGACGGCTTGAGTCATAAAAGAAGGGCGATGTATAAGATATATGGATTTTCATGTAAAAAGAAAACATTAGCTTTGAGCCAGACAGTGCATGCTGTGACCAGTTCTCATTTCCTTCACTGGAACCAAGCTGTGTTTTCAAGTTTGTGTGTAGATTGGGCTCGTGTTTGTGTTTTTATGCTCCCTTTGAGGTGTGGTGTTTGTACGTCTGCCACAACTTGCACCACGGAATCCACCCTATGTCTGGATTCTTGCCATAGACATGGCAAAACATATTTCCCTGTTGGGGAAATAGTTGCATTTTCATAAACTGGAGAAGAAAATAAGTAGACTGAGATGCTGAAATGAAATATCTTAATGTACAGTCTGCATAAGTGTGGGGAACTGATGCAGTTCCTCAAGTCATTTTCAGATGTCAGTTGATACTCATGCTCTGAATTATTTCCAGTAGCTCTTGGGTTAGAATGGTAAGTAATTTTGTTATTTGGTTTGTGTAGATTGAATGGCTAGAGATCTAGCAATAAAAGCAACAAATGTAACTGGTTTAGAGCCACCATTTATTGAATATTCAATGTGTGCCAGACTGTGCTGGCTACTTTATATATATCATTTCATTTTATGATTGCATCCTGTCACATGGCATTCAGTGTTTGCATTTTCAGCAGTATGGGAATCAAATTATGAAGAAGTCTAGAAACCTGACCAACGTTACATGGGCTTTAAACTCAGGTCTTTCTAACTCTTAACCACTAGTCTGTTCTGCTGCCTGTTTTCTCTCACCTAAATCTGGCAGTGTTCTTTCTACTTGTTATAGATTGAGTTTTTCACATGAAACATTTAGAGCTGAGAGCAGATATTTCTGCTTCTTAGGAATATATGCAAAGGGTGGAAGAAGTTGAGATCTCCAGAAGAGAACAAGACCAAACCTCAAACACTAGCTGTTTCCCAGCTAATTCTGGAACCTGTGTTTTCCTTTCTTGGAGGAGGGAGCCGTGGGTTTGGAAAGAAGTCGCCAAAAGGCAGGACAGATTTCAGTCCTGTGTTGTTTATATGTCAGATACTGTCGAGTTGGTTCTGACTCATAGCAACCATATGTACAACAGATCAAATCTTTCTCTATCCCACATACTCCTCACAATATCCCTTGTGTAAAGGAGCTCTGGTGGTCTAGTGGCAAGAAGCTGCACTACAATACTGAAGGTACTCAGTTCAAATCCACCAGATGCCACACTGGAGAAAGAGGGGCAATCTCCTTCTGTTCCAGTCAGATCTATTCAACAGTACACAACAAGGAGCTGGGGAGGGGAAAGGAATAGCAACAAAAACTAAAAGTTAAAAGAAAAAAAAAGGCAAGAATCAAAATTTTTACCTTAATGTGATACTACAAAGAGAAAACAATATCTCTTGTGCTCAAGTCTGTTGTTGCAGTACAGCGAGTCTCACTGTCCTTCAGCCAGTCTGGCTTTTCTGAGAACCTTCACTGTTCTTACCTCTAAGGAGCACTCGAGCTGTACTCCAAGACAGGTCTGTTGATCCTAGCTTTGTGAAAATGAGAATCTCCTTTTTGCTTATGTATTTGTTGTTTCTCATCATTCTTCTCTAACCTCAAGCTCCTAGAGCAGAGCCCTGCATGATTTGTTTCCCACCATATCCCTCTACTTCAGGAATCAGCCTTGACTTTTCCTCACATGTTCTCTCGATGTTGTGACCTGAAGCCTTGTCTCCTGTTTGTGCTTTCATGCCACTTCTTTGTTTCTCAGCTAATTCTGGGAACTAGTGTTACACTTTATTTAGAAGAAGGAGGCAGTCATATTTAGATTTTCTTTCAGTAACTGCTAATTGATCTTTGTGTTCTTCTTTTCCCTACCTCGGTCCATCTTCTACATCACTATTAACATGACACTGCTGATGAATCCCATCAGGCCTTGCTTCTGCTTAAAATCCTCCAGGGGCTCTTCATTGCTCATAGAGTATTACCTGAACCTCTGCAATGACCCTGCAGTCTTTCTGTAGTCTGGTTTCTGGCCATTTTCCTAGTTTATGTTTTCTCTGTAATACACTGCCCCTTCCACTGCGCCCTCCACAAAGCCATCTCCTCTTAGTAGTTTTGCCAGCACCATGTCCTCTCCCGGGAATGTAACTTCCCCTTTTCCTCTTCTAGGTAACTCAGCTCAAGTTTCCGCTCTCTAGACACCTTCCTTCCCCACCCTGCGCCCCTCCCTGAACTGGAGATGACCTTCCTCCTGGATCCCAGAACAACCTGCATTTCTCTCAAAGTGTAAATGTTGATTCCCTTATCTGCTATGTGCAGGCCCTTGAGCTCCTTGAGGGTGGAGAAACAGAGACACACACACACACACACACACACACACACACACACACACACAGACACACACTCTGCCAGTACAGTACACCTGGCTCAGAAAGTGTTTGTTGAAAGAGTGAGGATTGCAAAGTCTGTCTGTGTAGCCAAACAACAGATTATAAAATGCAGTTGAATATATTTTAAATAGGAGGTTCACTGACTGTTGAGTTCAGTGCTCCCCTCCACCCCCCAGACCCCACCCCCAGCTGTGGGCCAGACAGGTTGCTCTGGGCTTGTGTTCTCTGCTGCGGGCTGTGTCTCTTAGCATATGGAGATCTCAGGCATGTGACTTCTTCGACCCCTCTTTTTTTATTTATTAATTATTTTGTTGAGGAATCAGCAATAGCAATTTAGGGTGAAAAATAGTGCATCAAGGAATGCTCAGGAATGAGATCCACCCAGCTTTGTTCTGGATGCATCCCAAATATCCTAAATTAGCCAAAATAACAATCCTTGCCAACTGCTCTCTGACAGCCTTTTCCCCTGCAGTCCAGCTGAGAAGGCGTCTCTGGCGGGTTCTTTGAGAAGGTGCCTGAGGGCATTTTATCTTATGTGGAACCTTGGAAGGTAGTTGGTGAATAGTGCTGCCAGTCCAAATAGGAAGAGGCACTGACACTGAGGCTCCCCAACCAGTGCCTCGCTTACCCCCACACAGAGTTCGTAGCAAATACATTTTCATGTTTTGATTTTGGACCTTTGGCTCAACGTGTGCACCTATTTTATATATTGTTGCTGCCACAGATTAACTGGTGGTGGTTGTTAGGTGCTGTCGAGTTTAGTACAACTCTTAGGGATGCTATGAACAAAAGGTCTTAGCCCTGTTCTATCTTGCACCATCCTCACACTTCCTGACACACAAGAGCAATCAGGTGTTTGAAAATGTAACTTTGTGAAATATCTTAGTCACAAAAGGACAAATACTGCATAACATCACTCTTACAAAGCAGGACTGAAATGGGGGATTGGGAAGAGAGTAGGAAAAGAGTAGATAGGTAATCAGTACTGCATTGGAACAGATGGAGGGAAGAATTGTTTAAAAGAAATATATGATTAGGCATTTTATGTGTGACAACATACCAGAATAAGAGATACATTGCAAAGTGGACTTGGGGGGGAAGAGGGAGAAAGGAAGAAATTGTGCAACAATGAATTAATCTGGTTTTTTTTTAGATAATTTTTATTTATTTATTTATTCTTTTT